AAAAAAAAAAAAAAAAAAAAAAAAAAGAAAGAATGGAACGAGAATGGAGAGATAATTGGTTCGAAACGACGACGTGTCGTCCATTAGACGTGTTTTTTCAGCCAGGAATAATATTTTGACGCGACGATCGTGCTACCCTATCCAAACACCGAATATTCGGCGGTCAAGCGGCAGCAATAACATCTCGTTTGCAAACAAGCGGAACGCTTTTCGGCCACGTCGCTCGAACTTCTCTCGTCGCTTCTCACTCCTCTTTGGGGAAAGTTACGGGATCCGAGCGAAGAGAATCATCGAGACTTTCCCCGAGTGGAGATCTTAAACAGACGGACGAAGGTCCGTTTCAGTCCGGGAACGAGGAATTTTTTCGTTTCGAATTTTTTCGTTCCTCGATAATCTTCAAAGACATTTTGTACAATTTTGATGAACAATTGACGAATAATGTAATTTTGGTACTGATAGAGGACAAGTAAAATTTCGGAACCGTCGACCATGTATTCTTGAGACTTTATCCACGCCGATTAAAAGAAATCATGTTCTGAGATTTCGTTGCAAAAAGTCTAACTAACTATGTAATGTGATATATTATATATATAATTATTAATTGTTACAATTTTTATTTGCTAGAAAATTATTACACATGGCAAGGAAGCAACCAAATGAATTAAAAAAAAGAAGAATTAAAAAAACTCGCGAAACCAAGGAAAGATTAACTAATAACATGAAATATAACATATTATACATGTTATTGTTAATTATTATAATTATTACAATTTTTATTTGCCATGTTTATCATGCATTATATTAATGTATCATAACAGAAAGTTACTATATAGAAAATCGTCACGTACGACGAAGAAAGAAACTAAATAAACCACAAAAGAAACTGTGTGTTAATCGTGCCAATAACTTAAAAAAAAAAATCATGAAAATTATAAAATTGTATATTTGTGAGAGTTGCTCGCTCGCTATCAGTCTGCCAGTTCTTTCCATGAAAATTAGTTCCCACTTAAAGAAAATAATTTATATGTATACGTATATAATGCGAGTATTGGGGCCGCGACGTTCTCAACGCAGTGGGGAGAGCGATGCAGTGGAGGGGAGAGCAATGCAGTGGAGGGGAGAGCGACGCAGTGGAGGGGATGGCGCTAGCAATCAGGAAAGTGGGGGGAAGCGCCGCCAGTCTGCCACCTCTGATTTATATTACTATTTATATTTATGATTATTCATATTATCCTTTATATTTATTATTTATATTATTCTTTATATTAATTATTCATACTTGTCGACTCCTTTGGAATGAATTCATTTCTTTTCTCCAGCCGCCAGATTCCAAAAGATCTTCCTTCATTCCGTTCGAGTTGTTCGAGGAAAAAAAAAAAATGTCATAACGAAAGCCAAAAGCTTGGTATCTACGAGATATCTCGTGGATACCTTGAATCCCATAACATCTAATACGCGTTTATCCACGGCGTACAGGGGGATATTAAGAGCCGCTCGGAGAAAGCAGAGAAAACAAAATTCCAGCCGAGGAAACATCTCCCTGCCGGAACATTAGTTGAAAACTTGAAACGTTCCCTCGGGAAAGCAAACAATCAACGCAAGATACGAATCTCCCTGTACTCCGAAACTCCGTAAAGACCCTTTTCCCTAATATATGAAAGTCTCTAATGGGCTACGCTAGGGCCGGGTTAATATTAACTCCGTGTTTGCGCTTTATAAACCCATAACCACACGTCTCTCCAGTTTTATATTTTTATATATTTATATATTATATATTATATTTATATATTCGTATTATAATTTTGCATTTATGTTTGTAATATAATTTTATATATATATATACATATATTAATAATAGAGAATCTCCAAGAAGATTCTTATTATTTATTCTACAAAAATTTAATCAAAAAACTATCGTGTGATGAACGAAACTTTTTAAAATTAAATTTACTAAATTCAAGTGAAACCTTTTTCAATTAAACGTATCGAATTTAAATGAAACTTTTATTAAATAGAAATTCATTATAAAAATTCTTATTACATGTTGCATATATTCGTTCTCCTTATTTTGCTCTCCTTTATTCAAAAATTACAACGTAATAACCTCTTCAGAAATACTGGCACACGCGTTGAACGTTTTTTTTCTTTAAATTGAAATCATTCCAAGGTGAAAAAAGAAAAGGATCAAAATCAGTTTAACGCCACATGCAAAACTATACGCTGCACGAAATGAAATGAAACAACAAAATTGACAACGGAAACGCAAGAAGAGAAACGTGTAAAAGTCGACGTGGCGCAGTCGAACGAGAAATTAAGTTCGCTTTCAACGAAATTCGTTTCCCGAGGATGCTGAAGGAATGAAGGAGAAAAGAAAACAGAACGGAAGTACTCACTTGCGGCCGCTGTCGAGGAACCTGTCGAACTCGACGGACATCTTGCAGCAGAGGGCCCGCCTGTTATGCGACGACGAGCACTTCGTGTTGATCATGTGGCCGTCTGCAATCAAACAGGAACACCGAGGTTCATAAATAGAGAGCAGAAGAGAAAGAGAGAGAGAGAGAGAGAGAGAGAGGGGGACGGCGAGTGGCGTAATTAATTAAGAGGTTAATAATCGTTCTCCCCGGTACAGGGGTTCAATTAATTCAGCCCCCCCCCCCCCTCTCGTTTCGCCAAGCTGCTTTCAAAGAGAGGACACACCTCGATCATCGCGATACACATCGCTCCACCTTGTAACTACCGACGCTCCCACGATGCGACCGTGTGTGTTTCAATTATGCCCAGCCAACAATACGCGACAATTAACCGCGCGCTCGCTCTCTCTCTCTCTCTCTCTCTCTTGTCGTAATTATACGGAGGAGCTCCCCTGGTTTTACGACCGGTTCATCCGGACGAGCTTTCGGCGATTAATTCGTAACAACGCCGAAATGATTCGACGGTCGAACTTGCGAATTTGCGTAGCAACTCCTCCTCACAGTTGCCTCTAACCGATTGCGGACCGTAACGAGTGACCGAACCGTATGCAACAGCAACTCGTCGGATTCGAAATGATCGAGAAGTAACAAATTTCTTAATTTGTTTCGCTTAAATATACACTTGTGACTGAGAAAAAAAAACATTACAATTTTGGGACGAAAGATTGTCACGAAGGAAACCAGCAAGTGGAAATTTCCAAAGTGGAAATTTCAATTTTCAGCAATGTGATGAACGAAGCAAACGAGAAGGAATGTTTCAATGCTTTTCGAGATATTCACGATTCTTGAGAAACAGAAGATTCTCTGCTTTCTCGCTCGCCACGTGGCGAAAAATATCATTTCCGACGAGGACGCATCCATCATGAAGCAAAAATTAACGTAAATGTTCGCGAATAACAATATTCTTAATATAAGAAATTCGAGAGTATAAAGAAGCGAGGAAGAGTAGCGGTAGAAAGGGGAGCGGTCAGGAAATTTCCAGAAAGGGAAGAAAAAAAAAGGTTGAAAGAAAAAAATCGAGGAGAATTCGGAGCGAATTCGTGGTGGAGCTTCACGTGTTCCCCTGCGGCGAAACTGACGCATCGGTTGGCCGCGTGGGTGGACGCAGCCGAGCCAACAAACAGAGGGAGGATAATACCAAGCACGGAAGGAGCAAAGGAGGAGGGATACGAGCACGCGAGCCCTCGAGCACCGTCCGACATTTGACCTCACCACGCGCTCTGCACCGGTTTGCACCTCGGCACCCCTCCCCCCTTTTCTACCTGCCTCGCGTAATCCACCCTTCTACCTTCTCGTCCACCGAGACTACCACTGTGTCCCTAAACCGACGGAAACTGAATGGGGCATGTCAAACATTAAATTTAAGATATCGTTACGTATCGTTCGTATTCGTAAAAATTAGTCTATTATTATTATTAATATTGGTATTATTAGTCTATTATTAGTATTACTAATATTAGTAATAGTAGTAGTAGTAACAGTAATAGTAGTACTATTATCAGTGTATTATTAGTAGTGATAGTAATAGCAGTAGTATTATTAGTGTACTACTAATATTATTATTGTTACCATTAGTAGTAGTATCGTTAGTGTACTACTAATATTATTATTGTTACCGTTAGTAGTAGTATTATTAGTGTATCATTAGCATTATTATTAATAGTAGTAATAGTATTATTAGTGTATTACTAATATTATTATTACTACTATTAGTAGTAGTATCATTAGTATTATTATTAATAGTAGTAATAGTAATAGTAGTTCTATTATTTGTGTATTTCTAGTAGTAGTATTATTAGTGTATTATTAGTAGTAGTATTATTAGAGTATTATTAGTATTATTATTTGTAGTGATAGTAATAGTAGCAGTATTATTAGTGTATTATTAGTATTACTATTATTAGTAGTAATAGTAATAGTAGTAGTATTATTAGTGTATTACTAATATTATTATTATTACTATTAGTACTAGTAATAGTAATAGTAGTAGTATTATCAGTATATTACTAATATTATTATTATTAATATTAGTAGTATTATTATTAGTAGTAGTATTAGTAATAGTAGCAGTATTATTAGTGTATTATTAGTATTACTATTATTAGTAGTAATAGTAATAGTAGTAGTATTATTAGTGTATTACTAATATTATTATTATTACTATTAGTACTAGTAATAGTAATAGTAGTAGTATTATCAGTATATTACTAATATTATTATTATTAATATTAGTAGTATTATTATTAGTAGTAGTATTAGTAATAGTAGCAGTATTATTAGTGTATTATTAGTATTACTATTATTAGTAGTAATAGTAATAGTAGTAGTATTATTAGTGTATTACTAATATTACTATTATTACTATTAGTAGTAGTAATAGTAATAGTAGTAGTATTATTAGTGTATTATTAGTATCACTATTACTAGTAGTAGTAGTAATAGTAATAGTAGTAGTATTATTAGTGTATTATTAGTATCACTATTACTAGTAGTAATAGTAATAGTAATAGTAGTTGTATTATTAGTGTATTACTAATATTATTATTATTACTATTAGTAGTAGTAATAGTAGTTGTATTATTAGTGTATTACTAATATTATTATTATTATTACTATTAGTAGTAGTATTATTAGTGTATTACTAATATTATTATAATTACTATTGGTAGTAGTATTATTCGTCTAATATTAGTATTGCCGATGATCTGACAGAAAAATGTTTGAAATGAAAATTAATCGACGTTCGATCTTCTACATATTTCCAAAAAGAAAAAAAGAAAAAATTTTGTTTTCACAAAAATTCAGAAAATTATCTCTATTTTTTTAAACGTCGTTATACATCTTTAATACTCGACAATATTATTTTATTACGAATCTTGAAATAATTTTCGCCACGAAAACGCAATCTTCAGACTATATTGTGTGCATCGGGGTAATTGGACTGGCATCGGACCAGGGACTGATTCAGGGGAAGAGTGGAGAGGGATTCGCGTTGTTCGCTGATCGACCACCTGCTGGATTCGATCGGATCCAATGGAAATGGAATTTAGCCGCGATTCTTCTCCCAGCACCTTTGTCGAAGGGATCTTTTTCAGAGGGTTGCTCGAGAATCCGAGAAAGTTTCCAGTTTCAAGAACTCGAAACTTTGTATCTATCTGGTAGTTCCAGGTCCTCGAAATAATAATCTTTCTCGGTTAAGAGAAAGTACACAATAAAACGGATAGTGTTGACAAGGTGTTTTACTGGCGAGACCTGAACATTTTCACTATTTTCGATAGTATGAGATTTATACGTGATTTAAACTGTGTTTAAAACAAAAAAGTCTCGATTTGCGTGAGACTACGTGGAAAAATAGTAAAATCAGCAGTTTCAAGTTCGATTCGGGAAGATGTGAACGTTTTTTTGAATATACTTCGAATGTACTCGTTCGATCGAGAATTTTATGCGAGGGGTGTTGTCGAGGAGATACTTGAATGAGTCTCAAAGTCGGATGACAACTTCGTTCTTCGATCGATCTTCCAGTCTCGTCGTTAGATAATCGCGCGCGTTCTTTCGTCGTCAAGAAGGAAAGGGGAGCCGGCGTGTCGATCAGGCTAAACCAGATTCCACCTTGCAGAAGATCCCGCGACCGGTTCCCGAGAGGATGGATCGATCGATGAATCGTTCATTCGAGTCGACGTCTCGGCCACGCGCGAAACTCTCGACTCGTGACGAGAACTGGAAAAACCTCTCGCTATTTCTTGCCAACCCCTTAAGTCTCTCTCTGCATGCAAGCAACGCGACAGATGAATTTTTACGATCGAACCAATGATCTTTCAACAGTTATGCTCTACAAAATCGAGAGTCACGCGTAGGAAATGTTACGACCGAAAGGGTGGTACCTGAGTAATCCAACAGCAACGTATTGACTAAGGCTTAACACCGCTTGCGCTGGTAACTGACTGCGGACCATAACGAGCGACCGAACCGTATACAACAATTCGTCGCTTTCTTTTTCTTTTAAATTCGTCGGTATGACATCCACTGGATAGAAATGATCGAGAACTAATAAATTCATTATTTGATCTGCCTGGGTTATACTTAAATATACTTAGAACTGAGAAAATATTACAACTTTGGGACAAAAAAATTCTCGACGTGCGTGGCACGTCATTCCAGCGCAAGAGGTTAACTCTAGATCGAACAGAGCGAAGACACGAATTTGAAGGTTAAACGTTGCCTTTTTTTTTTTTTTTTTATTTTTACGGTTTTTCACATTTCTATAAAAGCCTCTGTCACAGTTTTCGGGGAATTTCGGGGAAATAGTGGGACTTTATCGTTCGTGTGACAAATCTGTCGCGAGAGGAGAGTCGTGTCGTTTCGGTGGCCGACCGTTAACTGCGAGGACGAGGAGCGAACTTTTGAAATGATTGACGAGCACGTGGATCCGCGGCGAGCGGGCCAGGCTCCTGCACGCCTGTTCGTCTCGCGCTGGCAATTATCGCGTAAACGAGGCCAGCCATTAAGCCCCAGCCGTAATTACCCGTGCCTCGTATTACAACAGAAATAAACGCTCCCATTCGGTGCTTTTCTCTTTCGTTTCTACAATATATTCTTCTATATATATATATATATATATATATATATATATATATATATATATAAAACAACATATGTGTTCTCTTCGTTGCTCCACCAAATTATTATTAAAATAATTGCTCGTTAAATGGAAAAGAATCAATTTCTGGAGGGGAAATTAAATTTTTTTCGATCCACGAATATCTGTTTCGGGATTGGAGTCTCCTTTTTGTAACAAGTTTGTCTCTGGAACCTAACCCAACTTAAGAAACGTAACTCAAACCTAACCTAAAAACTGAGGCGCCAGATTTTTTTTTTCTTCGCCGATTTATGTGACTTTGAATGAAAAATATATTATACAGTATATAATAAATTGTATATAAAAATACATTATATATATATATTATTATATATTATTATATATATATACATTTTTTGCTACAAACTATTATTTATTATATGAAGAAGTACAAATTTATCTAATTCCTGAATTCTATTAGAAATCTATTAAATTTTTAAATTTATCATTAACTCTATTAATCCAAGTGACATAATTTTGTTCTAATAAAGGCACTGTGTGTATACAATATATAGTATAGTATTCTTACCAAAGATCATTCATATTTAACAAACAATTTTTGATAAGTACACGTGCCATATTACACATATATTAAAGTGCAACAAACAAAATTTCTAAAATTATCACGTTAGAAAACTTAAAGAACATAAATTTTCTAAATCTTAATTTTCTTTCGATCGAATTTTTCTTCTTCTTTTTTTTTTTTTTTTTTTTTTTTTTTTAATTTTTATTTTTTTTTTTTTGTTTTCCTTTTTTTTTTTTTTTTTTTTTTTTTGGATATATTTTAATT